CCGTCGTCGCCGTCGTCGTCGTCGCCGCCGCCGCCGCCGCCGCCGTCGTCGTCGTCGTTGTCGTCGTCGTCAGCGTCGTCGCGATCGTCGTGATCGTCGTCGTCGTCGTCATCGTCGTGATCGTCGTCGTCGTCGTCAGGGTTAAAACTGAGGCCCCAGTTTTAACCCTGAATCTCTCTTGCCCTTCGGCTATCGTCCGTCGTCGTCGTCGTCGTCGTCGTGATCCTCCTCGTCATCGTGCTCTTCCGTCGTTACTCGTCGTCGTCGTCGTCGTCGTCGTCGTCGTCGTCGTCGTCGTCGTCGTCGCCGTCGTCGTCGTCGTCGTGTCGCCGGTTTCGTTCGTGTCGCAGCGGGTCAGCGTCGTCGCGATCGTCGTTTTGTTCGTTCGACCAACAGTTCGCGCGCGGAGTGAATCGTGTTCGTCGTCGTGAGGGTGTTAAAACTGAGGCCTTAGTTTTAAACCTGAATCTCTCCTTGCCCTTCGGCTATCGTCCGTCGTCGTCGTCCGTCGTCGTGAATCCTCCTCGTCATCGTGTCTTCAGTGTCACTCGTCGTCGATGGTCGTCGTCGTCATTCGTCGTCGTCGTCGTCATTCGTCGTCGTCGTCGTCGTCGTCGCCGCCGTCGTCGTCGTCGTCGCCGCCGTCGTCGTCGTCGTCGTCGTCGTCGTCGTCGTCGTCGTCGTCGTCGTCGTCGTCGTCGTCGTCGTCGTCGTTGTAGTCGTCGTCGTCGTCGTCGTCGTCGTCGTCGTCGTCGTCGTCGTCGTCGTCGTCGTGTATCGTCGTCGTCGTCGTCTGTTATTATCTTGAGGCCTCAGTTTTAACCACTGAATTCTTTGCCCTATTCGGCTATCGTCCGTCGTCGCCGGTTCGTCGTCGTCGTGATCCTCCTCGTTCATCGTGCTCTTCCGTCGTTATCGTGTCGTCGTTCGTCGTCGCGGTCGTCGTCGTTCGTCGTCGTCGTCGTCGTCGTTCGTCGTTCGTCGTCGCCGTTCGTCGTCGTCGTCGTCGTCGTCAGGCGTCGTCGCGATTTCGCGTGATCGGTCGTCGTCGTCGTCGTCGTCATCGTCGTGATCGTCGTCGTCGTCGTGAGGGTTAAAACTGAGGCCTCAGTTTTAACCCTGAATCTCTCTTGCCCTTCGGCTATCGTCCGTCGTCGTCGTCGTCGTCGTCGTGATCCTCCTCGTCATCGCCCTCTTCAGTCGTCAGTCGTCGTCGTGGTCGTCTTCGGCATCGTGGTCGTCGTCGTCGTCGTCGTCGTCGGCATCGTTGCAGCCGCCCGTCGCCGCCTTCGTCGTCTTCGTCGTTGTCGTCGTCGTCGTCCGTCGTCGCCGTCGTCGTCGTCGCCGCCGCCGCCGCCGCCGCCGTCGTCGTCGTTGTCGTCGTCGTCAGCGTCGTCGCGATCGTCGTGATCGTCGTCGTCGTCGTCATCGTCGTGATCGTCGTCGTCGTCGTCAGGGTTAAAACTGAGGCCTCAGTTTTACCCTGAATCTCTCTTGCCCTTCGGCTATCGTTCCGTCGTCGTCGTCGTCGTCGTCGTGATCCTCCTTCGTCATCGTGCTCTTCCGTCGTTACTCGTCGTCGTCTTCGTCGTCGTCGTCGTCGTCGTCGTCGTCGTCGTCGTCGTCGTCGTCGTCGTCGTCGTCGTCGCCGTCGTCGTCGTCGTCGTCGTCAGCGTCGTCGCGATCGTCGTGATCGTCGTCGTCGTCGTCATCGTCGTGATCGTCGTCGTCGTGAGGGTTAAAACTGAGGCCTTAGTTTTAACCCTGAATCTCTCTTGCCCTTCGGCTATCGTCCGTCGTCGTCGTCGTCGTCGTGATCCTCCTCGTCATCGTGCTCTTCAGTCGTCACTCGTCGTCGTGGTCGTCTTCGTCATCGTCGTCGTCGTCGTCGTCATCGTTGCAGCCGCCGTCGCCGCCTTCGTCGTCTTCGTCGTTGTCGTCGTCGTCGCCGTCGTCGCCGCGTCGTCGTCGCCGCCGCCGCCGCCGCCGCCGTCGTCGTCGTCGTTGTCGTCGTCGTCAGCGTCGTCGCGATCGTCGTGATCGTCGTCGTCGTCGTCATCGTCGTGATCGTCGTCGTCGTGGTCAGGGTTAAAACTGAGGCCTCAGTTTTAACCCTGAATCTCTCTTGCCCTTCGGCTATCGTCCGTTGTCGTCGTCGTCGTCTTCGTCGTCGTCGTCGTCGTCGCCGTCGTCGTCGTCGTCGTCGCTGCTGCCGAAAACACCACCAAGGACCAAATCTTTTGAAACAGCTGGTTCAAAAGATTCGTCGTCGTCGTCGTCGTCGTCGTCGTCGTCGTCGTCGTCCGTCGTCGTCGTCGCCGCCGAAGACATCACCAAGGACCAAATCTTTTGACACAGTTGGTTCAAAAGATTTGGTCGCTCCGTCGTCGTGGTCGTCGTCGTCCGTCGTCGTCGCCGTCGTCGGAGCCGTCGGGGTCGGGGTCGGAGTCGGAGTCGGCGCCGGAGTCGCCGTAGTCCGTCGTCGCCGTCGTCGTCGTCGTCGTCGGAGTCGTCGTCGGAGTCGTCGTCGTCGTCGCCGTCGCCGTCGTCGTCGTCGTCGTCGTTGTCGTCGTCGTCGTCGTTTCATCGTCGGACTTCGAATTTAGTGGTGTCGTGGTCTTCGCCGTTGTCGTTCTTGTTTTAGCGGTCGTCGTCGCGGTCGTCGCCGCGGGCGGGCGGGCGGGCGGGCGAGGAGGCGGAGGAGGACGAGGAGGAGGAGGAGGAACAGGAGGACGAGGAGGAAGAGGACGAGGAGGAGGAGGACAGGAGCAGGACAGGAGGAGGATTAGGATGGCCCTGCTTACGGTTTCCCCGGGCCGCGCGTTCCGGGAATCCCTGGGTCGTCGCTCGCGCGTTCCTGGGCTCGCGCCTTCCGCGTTTCCTGGGCTCGCGCCTCCCGTTCCCTGGGTTCGCGCCCCTCGTTTCCCCGGGTCGTCTTCCATAAGGGGCTGTTTAATTCGAAGCGTCGGTGATATCCTCTTCTGGCGCCCTCTGGGGCCCGCCTCGGGGCCTCGCGGGGCCCGCTGGGCAAAGGCGCGACGCGGCATGCGGCATGCGGCATGCCTCCCTCTTGGCACCTTCTCCCAGCGGACGCTGAGAACCCTTCGGTCCTTGGGGCTTCCTTGGAGGCCCTCTTGCAATGCCCGCTGCCCAGGCTACACCGCAGGCCCCTTGCTGCTGAGCTTCGTGTCGACGTGCTGGACATCGTGATTCAGTCCGACGCCGGCCTGTCCGGGGCGAGCCCTCGGCCCCTTGGACGTCGGCGCGCCAGATGACATATCGTCACCTTCGCCGCTGCCTCCGCGCCCGAAGTCAAACGATTCAGCTGCCGCGAGATGTCCAGGATAGGATGAGGAGGGTGCGGAGGAGTATGGGGGGCAGAGGAGAGGTTATGGGAGCGGGATGAGCGGGTGTAGTAAGCAGGAGGGCGATCGAAGGAGCGTCAGCACCGACGCCGCCCAATGACGTCAGAAGATGTGGTCGAACGCATCACCAGGCCTTCGGCCCAATTTCCGCAAGGCCCCTATGCGTGGCCCGCGCCAGAGGTGCGCGAAGTGCCCGAGGAGGGCCAGGGCATCTCGGGCCCCCCGCAGCTTCATACTGAGTGTCCTTGTGAGAGTCATCAGGGCATCTCGGGGCCCTGGTAGACAGTGTGCGCGGGGCTCTCTTGGGATCCCATGCGGGCCAGGGCGTCTCTGGGCGGGTCAGGGCGCTGGGGTCTCGCTGGGGTTCCGCGCGAGGGCCATTGTCTCGGGGCCCACATGGGGCCAGGGTGCTTGGAGCTCGGCCCGGAGCCCCACGAGGGCAAGGGCCTTCCAGTGTCAGAGCCGAGTCGTTTCACATTGCTCGAGGTTCCCAATCGTCACCCTGGCTCCCTAGGCGTTTCGAGGCCCAGGGGGTCAGGGTGCTGGGGCCCTTCTTGGCGCCTTCACGGCCAGTGCCTCTCGGGGCCCAGGGGGGGCAGGGCGCTCGGAGCTCGCTCTGCGTCTCTGGGGGGCCAGGTTCGACAGGGCTCGCGCTGCCCCAATCGATCGCCTCCGCACCCGTATATAGACGCTGCGGCTCAGGAAGCGTGCCGACGCGCCAGAGCGCTTGTTGTCGTTCTGAGGTTGGAATGGCGCCAGACGATGGGCGAGCTGCGCTTCGCAAGGGGAGCCCCCGAGATGATCCAGCGCTGAAGAGGATGAGGAAGGCACTCGAGGAGCCCCCTCCAGCGCCATCGATCCGCAAGCGGGCGCCGGAGCCGCCGCCTGCAGCCGAGGCCCCAGCAGGGAAACGGATGAGGGCTCGAAACACTGATGTTGATTTCCAAGGTTGGGAGATCAAGGCCGATGGCCGCAAGTGCCGCCTGTGTTCTTGCAAGGACAGTGACCCGGACCCAGTGCACCCTGACCAGTATTGCCGGTGGGCGTATCCCCCCTCCGATGACGGCACCAACCGCGGTTTCGTGTGCTACGTGTGCTTCCGGACGCACGCCGCCCGCTTCTCGAAGCTAAAGGTCAGTCAGCTCGAGGGGGAGATCGGCGAGAGTTCCGAGGAGCGCACAGGGCGGGGCGAGATGTAGGGGAGGGAAGGTGGACGCGAGGTTGCACGGGGAAAAGGGAGCGGGGGAGTTCCGCCCTCTGTTGGTTTTTCTGCGCCGACCGCGGTAGGCCCCAGATGGCCAGTGATTCGCGAGTCCCATGGTCAGGGGGGTCGCGGGAGTTCACATTCAGACATCGGAATTCAGACAGTTTTCAGCTGGCCCGAGATTGTCCGAGGTATCCTATCTTCAGCCCCTCCACGAATCGTTGAATGCCCCCCCACACACACACACACGCGCACACACACACACACACACACACGCACGCACGCACGCACGCACGCACGCACGCACACGCGCACGCACTCACGCACGCACGCACGCACGCGCGCACGCACGCACTGCTCTCTCATCAGGAGCACGACAACTGGGAAGCATATCGTTCTGAGGCCCTGAATGTGTTCGTCACGGCTGGGAGTTACGACGCCCAGCCGAAGTGGGGTGACTCGGACAAGCGGGTCATTACCAATCAGAGGAGGCAGGTGAAGGTGAATAACCCAATTGATTCGTGCGTTCCACTGGAAGATTACATCAAAGAGCACGGGAACCCAGCCACAAATGGAAAAGGCCATCTTCGGTGCATTTTCAAAAAGCAGCAATGTGTCAAAATCCCAGGCAAGAAGATTTGGACGGTCGAGAGGTCCGAGATTGACGAGGTTGTTCTCGAAGAGGTGCGTGACGACGGTAGCTTCCAGCTTGGTCTCAACCAGTTGGAGTCAAACTTCCAAGATATCGGCAGCGCGATCTTCGGTTCTTTTCCTGAGGCTACTGGCGAACGCATGTCCTTGGATGAGATTATTGGCCGGCCGGCCCTGGCGTGGCCAGCTGCCCCTGCGGGCTACGCAGGATCTGCCCCCTCTTCCGCGAGAGATTCGGCATCTGGCGGCCAGGGCAAGGCCGACGAGGACGACGACTTGATGGGCGTTCGTAGCTTGGGTTTCCTTTCAATGTCAGAGGAGGTTCCAGTTGCATCTTCGACGCCAGCGGAGTCTTCCATTGCGCGAGACTCGAGAAACAAGAATCAGAAGGAGAAAGCAGATAAGAAGGACAAGCAAGGGAAGAAGGAGGATGGGGGCACGCGGAAGCCTGGCCGCAAGTCGAGGCACTTGTTGACAGTGATGGAGACCAGCATGAAAGAGTACATGGGGAGTGCGGACGGAGAGGGATATTTCGGACAAGCGGTCAACCACCGGCGCACGTTGGAAAGGAACGTCAAGGATTTCGGCGCCGAGACCCCGCCCGACGACGAGACGCCCGAAGACGCGGCGAAGAGAGCCATCCTCAAGAAACAGGCTCAGGCGGCCCTGCAGTTCTCGAAGGCGTGGGCCAAGCACGCATGCTTCAACAAGCACGTGGATCAGATCTACCAGCAGAACTCCAAGTTCCTGGCGTTGGAGCCCGCGGCCCCTGCGCCATATCCACAGTGGGTGCTCCGCTTGGCGCTGGAGGCTCACATCCCGAACATCGAGAGCGTTGAGGAATTCTGGCAGTTGCTCGAGCACGACAATCTCGTGGCCTGTGGCTATGCTTCTGATGCACTTGCAAGGCCCAGAGCCGAAATGCTGTCCACGGTGATTGCCACCTTTGTCAAGGTATCAGACGACTTCGACTCTGTCACAGCTCTGACTGCGCTCATCAAAGAGTGCCCCGCTCAGATGGACGATGACATCAAGAAGGAGCTAAACATCATGGACGCCCTGGTTAACCCGGTGGCCCACTCCAAGGACGAGATCGAGACGGCCCTCGCCCTCCTCAAAGGGTCTGGCGCGAAGTTCTGCGACGCGCTGAAGGGGTGGCCAGAGGGCGACAGACTCGTAGAGGAGGCCAAGAACAGCATCGTTGCCAAGGACTCGCGCTACCTCAGGTGCCATGGGGTTCAGGTTGCCCGAGACCCCAAGGGATCCGAAGGCCTGGGCCTCTCAGGGCCCAGGGGGGGTGTAGGGCGTGGGCGAGCGGATCTCCGTGAGAGCAGGGGCCTTTTAGGGCCCGGCGGATTCAGCTTGCTCGAGGCTTCCCACTGAGGCCCTTATGAGGGCTTGGGCTTCTCATGGTCCAGGGGCCGAGTCTACTCGGGATTCGCTCGGTCGGGGTCATGGGGGCCAGGATTTTTCAGGGCCCAGGGGCCCCCTCGCCAAGCATATCTGGCACAATGAGGAGGAGGGGGAGGAAGAGATAGAGGAGGTGGGGTGGGAGGAGGAGGGGGAGGAGGAGGAGCAGACGGAGGAGGAGGAGGAGGAGGAGGAGGAGTGGCGGCAAGGCTAGCGCTCGGGGCTTCACAGTCCTCCAGCAAGACCAGGATCTTGCGGGGCCCTCAGTGGGGGAGGGGGCTGCGCTCGGTTGCCTCATCGCCTTTTCGCCCCGCCCCCATCGCCGCCCAGGAGCGGACCGCCTCCCTCTTGCAAGACGTGAGAATCTTCGAGGAGAAGTACGGCACTCCCGACAAGTTTTCGTTCCATGGCGTCGACGACGTAATGAAAGATGCGCTTATCTTGACTGAAGCCGTGGGAAAACTAGGAGATGCTAGCAAGGACTTCTGGGATGGCATCGCGGGCCAGTTCGATGGGTTCGTTGATTCATTTTCCCCATGTTTCTTTCAGAACTTTGAGCTTGCTGTCGGGCGGGCGCTATTGGATCCTGATTTCACGCCTATCGACCAGAAGTCTTTCAATGAGCTGCCCGATCCGACCATCCCCCAGATTATCGAAGTATTGAAGGCTGTTGACGGGACCCGAAACACATTCTTTGGCAAGGTCGAGGAGGCAACAATTGACGGCTTGGTAGCCATGTCAGGAACCCTCGCAACAGCAGCTTGGCTCAAGGTTATCAAGCCTGAGTCGTTGGGCGGGCTGAAGGAGCAGGTGGGGGCCAGGCTCGCGATCCACAGGGGCTGCAACATTGCCCCCGCATTCGCCGAGCTCGCGTCGAAGCATTATTCGCAGGAGGACTCGTTCAATGAGTTCCAGGTGCTCATCCGTAACTTTAACGATCCGCTGCAGTGCTCCGTGACAGCTTCGTTGGACAACGAGATCGACCAGCAACTCGCCGCGGCCTTGCAGCCCGTCGTCATGCTCGTGAAGTCCATCGGTATCCATGATCATGTGATGGGCGGCCCAGATGACCCCTTGTTCAGTCCGTCCACCGGGGTGGTCTGGGCGGGGCTCGCTGAAGAGGACATCGACGCCCGCATTGCCAACGCCGATTCCGTGGCCCAGGTAATTTCCGACCCGAAGTTGAGGTCCCAGTTGAGTTTCCTGTCCAAGGCCGTCAAAGCCACCAAGTCCATCGTCGATTTGTCCAGGTGGGAGCAAGCTGGTCGAGGCTCTTACGAGAGTCTGAACTTGACGGACGATGTGCTTCAGAAGGTGAAGGTCGCAAAGGAGGACTGGAAGCGCCTCGAAGACTTCTGCGTCTACCTCTGCAAGGTTTCTGGCGAGCAGGACCTGTCGACCGCGATCCTCAGGGCCAACGGTGGCGAGGAGAAGTGCTGCTTGCATCCGACCACCTTCGACTCTCTGCCGGCCAGCCTGTGGCGCGCCCGCCTGCAGTCGTGGTCGGATTCAGTGTTGCGCAAGTGCGGTGGCCATTGGGCAGAGATTATTCGTGGCCTCAGTGATAAGATCCAGCCGCATCTCGTCGACTGGGAGGAGAAGAAGGATGAGATCTTGGCCCCCTGCAACTCGGGCCTCGTGAAGAGGATCCTCGAGAACGAAGGGTACAAGTTCTTGACCCCCTTGTCAGTCGAAGTGTCGCGCATGATGGCGTCCGTGAAGGGGCTTACCGACATCGGTGGCAAGGCGCTCGTGGATGAGGGCGTCATCGGGCGTGCCGAAAAGATGAGGACTTCGGCTCTCGTTTTGGTTTCTTTGACATTTACTCTGTATCACGTGAAGGTCGAGTGGCCGCGGCTGCGAGGGTGGCGCAAACAAGAGTCGGCTCGCATCGCTTTGGAGGGCCACCATGCCAAGGCCAGTTACGAGAACAGCTTCGAGTGTCTTCCAAAGTGCCTCAAGGACTACATCAAGCAGTTTGGCGCAGTGCATGCAGATTAGCAGTGGGGTCGGGGATGCTGAGGCTCCACTAGGCGATCTGACCGCCAGCTACCGATGCACATACATTGACGGTGGGGTCGCAGTGATAGTTCATGCAGGTGGCCGGCGGAGTTGCAGGTCGGCAGCGTTTTTATTCCGACATCTACGTCGGTTGCGATATTATTCGCACGTTCACACATGCAGCGTTTGAGACTTGGGGAGGAAACGAGCTCGGTGAGACTGCGGGGAAGGCATATCAATTATATATATATATATATGTGTATATATATGTATGTATATATATACATCGATAGATACCAGCTCGAGGGGGAGGAGGAGGAGGAAGAGGAGCAGGGGGATCAGGAGGGGCAGGAACGCGGGGATAAGGAGGAGGAGGAGGAGGAGGGATGAGGAGGAGGATGAGGGGGAGGAGGAGGAGGAGGAGGAGGAGGGGCGGGCCAGCTTGCCCACTTGCTTCCGGGATGAGGATACATCGGCTGCCTTCGGGCTTCGCGGGCTCCTGGGAGGCCCAGCGGAGGTGCGTCATGCGCGGGCCACCTCGGGACCTCGCCGTCCCTTCGGGGGGGCTTGCAATATGCGCAACTGTCGCCACTTTCGCGGGCTCCTGGGAGACCCAGCGGGGGCACGCCATGCGCGGACCACCTCGGGACCTCGCCGCCTGCTTTCGGACCTCGCTGCCTGCGGAGCGGATATCGGCCGCGGACATTTTCCGCCTCCCCCTCCCTCCCTGTCCCCCTCCCTCCGTCCCTCCCTCCCTCCTCCTTCTCCTCCTCTTCTTCCTCCTCCTCCTCCTCCTCCGTCTCCTCCTCCCTCAGCCTCCTGCTTCCTCCCCTTCCTCCTCCTGCTCCTCCCCTTCCTCCTCATCCTCCTCCTCGTCCTCCTCCTCCGCCTCCTCCTCCTCCTCCTCCTCCTCCCTCCCCCTCCTTTTCCTCTTCCTCCTCCTCTTCCTCCACCCGTATCCTCTCCCCCCCTCCCTCCACCGGCCCCCCTTTTCTCAGCCTCCTCTGTCAACGACCTCCGTCCTCCTCTTCCTCCTCATCCGCCCTCCTTTGTCTCCTTTGTCTCCCTTGTCTCCTCCTCCTCCTCCTCCTCCTTCTCCTCCTCCTCCTCCTCCTTCTCCTCCTCCTCCCTCCTCACCTCCCCAAGGGCGCGAAAAGCGTCGCGCTTCGCATGGCGAGATATGGCAGGCCATGGCTACCTGTCTAGAAGGCTTCCTCGCGTAGGCGCAAAGATAACCGCGCGTCGCACATCCTGGCGCTCGAAGCGCGAAGCTATTGACAAGCAATATGACACCCAGCCTCTTCCTTTCCGTGAGACAGCCTGGGTTCGATAAGGTTTTGTGGCGACCATCGTGTATTCTCAGAGGGGGTTCGCGCGCGCCTGCGCAGCCAATGATGGCGTCGGCCGTCGGCCTGTCTTCTTACGCTGCGCCAGTGGAGCCGACGACATTAGTGATAGACGACGAGCTGGTTACCTTGCCGTGCGAAGATGACCCGGGCACGTTTGTGGAGGAGGAGGCGACGCAGCCAGCTTTTTTTCCCGATGGTGTTTCGCTCCAGGCACCGCCTGAGCCTCCAAGAAGGACCGGCGACCCCAGTGACCCCTACCACGTCGCCGCGGTGCCCCAGGACTCTCCGCAGGGTCTAGACACGCGTGAGTTCGCTGAGGATCGGAGGGCACCAACTATACACCAACACCGATCCTGGCCCAGGATCGCCCTGGGCCCAGGATCGGTGTATATGCCTTCTTGCGCAAGGCAGGAGGGCGTATACACCGATCCTGGGCCCAGGGTGATCCTGGCCAGGATCGGTGTTGGTGTATAGTTGGTGCCTTCCTAGAGGAGTTACGTTCGGTTGCGCAGTCCGCTACGTCGATGGTGGTGGGGCCCGCTGCCACGGCGCCTTCGCGCGTCCGCATCGACCCCCCCCATGGGGACGCCCAGCCCGCTAGCTTACGTCAGGGGCCAGGACCAGCCGGGGGCCAGGGCTGCCAAGCGCGAGCCTGAGGAGCCCAGCATGCCGCCGCCAGAGAAAAAACCTTGCCTCCCAGCACCAGTGCCGACGATTACGCCGCCGCTGGAGGCAGGATCGGATAGCCACAATCCGAACGGGCACGCGCAGGTCGTCACCTTGGGCCGCAAGAACAAACGTATGACAGCATCAAGCACTCACCACTACAAGCACTTAGACTGCATGCCGAAGCTTCTAGCTCACGGGTTCACGATCCTCGAAAGGGAGATGTTTCCAACTGGCATCCCGTCTGGCTTTAGCGTAGAGTACGAGTTCACATACAGTATTCATGCCAAGAAGGATTCAGACATCCGCACGCTGTCTGTAGTTTGAGTGCGCATTCGCATCACTAGGGGGAGAGCGATGGGAGGGAAGGACAACGACAAGAGGGTGCAAAGGAGGAGGCATGTGTGGAAGGGGCTTTTTGATGCCCTGGAGTAGATTGGTCGTCTGCCTGCTCTTGTTCGCTTTCTGGAGCGCAGCGTTCGCTTGCGACTTGCAAAAGGTGATATCAATAGGCTTGCACCTCCCGCTCGACCAGCGAGCATATCGAGGTCGAGGTGGGCCGGCGGATAAAACTTTGAGGATGTTTCAGGCGAAGCGCTTGTATTTGAAATCCCGATCGATAAATCACAGGGTGCGGGCCACTCCTTCGCGCGATGGGGATGTCTCGAGCGAAGCGCTGGCTCCGCAGAGTTGCCGAGGATGTCTCGAGCGAATCGGTTGTTTTGTAGAACTTGAGGGATCTGGGCGCCCCAGAGATTTGGCTTCTCCAGGTGCACGAACCAGTGTGTTTTTACGTATGTGCCTGTAGATTTGCCCTCTCCAGGTGCACGAATCCATGTGCTTCAACGTATGTTCGTTTCCACGACCACACCCCGGCACGACCGCGCCCCAGCACGACCAAACCCCAGCGCGACCCCACCCCTGAACGACCCCACCCCAGCACGACCAAACCCCAGCGCGACCACACCCCAGCATTACCCCACCCCAGCCACGACCACGCTCCAACACGACCGCACCCCAGCACGACTCCACCCCAGAACGACCCCACCCCAGCACGAACAAACCCCAGCGAGACCACACCCCAGCACTACCCCACCCCAGAACGACCCCACCCCAGCAAGACCATCACCCAGCACGACCATTTCCCAACACGACCTCACCACAGCACGACCACACCCCAGCACGACCACGCCCCAGCACGACCGCGCCCCAGCACGACCGCGCCCCAACACGACCACCCCCCAGCACGACTACCCCCCCAGCACGGCGACCCCCCCCAGCACGACCACCCCCCCGCACGACCATCCCCCAGCACGACCACACCCCAGCACGACCACCCCCCAACACGACCACACCGCCTTGGTTGAGTGGTTGCTTGTCGTCGTGGAATGTTTCGCGGGGTGTCTCGTGGACTGTTTCGCGGGGTGTCTCCTAGAATGTTTCCAGGAAAACGTTGAAAACGGTCGCCCGTTTGTTGTTCTGTTTTGTTGTTTTTTGGTTCTTTAATGGTTGTTTTTGTTATTGTATGTATGTTGTTTGTATTGCTTGTTTACGCGGGACTATGTTTTGTTTGTGCGAGATTATGTATTGTTTGTTTGTACGTGTGTTGTTTTTGTAGGGAAGTCGAGATTATGGTATTGTTTGTTTTGCTGTTTCTTATCGCTTTAATTGTTTGTATTATTTGTTTGTTTGCGCGGGTGTTGTTTGCATGGGAACTGTTTAGGATTGTTGGGGCGGCTCAACGTATACGCACTCCTCCCTTGGCCAAGGATGCGTATACACAGCTCGTGGGCCCAGGACAGGCCAGGCCTGGAGCAGTGGATATGCAACGATTTTGTTGCCCTATGGTTTCCATGATGCGAGAAAGTTGCTGTGTCGTGCCATGCCGACCATGTGTATTATCATGCAGCATTAGTGTTGAGGGTCCCTCTGCCGGTGCAATGTCGAAGACACCGGAAACGCTTCCGCCGAGCTATTTCTAGAAACGCCGTGGGTTTTCCTTTGCAGTTACCAAATTTCACTCGTAAACATGTTTTTCAACAGTTTATAGTTCCCAGGTAGTGTTTTCCGCTTCCAGCGTCACTCAGAGAAAACGTTTTTCGTGCAGTTTCTAGCTTGTTTTCAATGATTTCCAGGTCTGCCTCGAAACGCTTTTGTTTTGTATCACGTCTTGTTTTTTTGATGGACTTGTGCCATAGTCTTCGACTGCCAACAGCTTTCCATCTTGAGCAGTCGAGGGCTCTTGCAGCTCCGACCTGGGTCAGCCAGTGCCAGTCAGTCGGTCGTAATTTTGAGTTTGCAGTGCACTTCTCCGGTGATCAGTTCTGGGCCATCTACCCCAGACGCGATTTTTGGACATGCGAACGTATTTAGTGCTCTTCCTCCTCCCTCGTTTTCGCCTTCCGTCTTGATTCTCTCTTTCGCCGTTTTTTTCCTCTTCTCCATGGCTGGTGCATCGCATGGCGGAATCCCCTTTCCCTCAGTCGGGAAGCTGGCAGTTTTCGTCATCACTGCACGCCGTCTGGTCCTGGAGACGGGTTGTTGGTCAAGCGGAGCGCGCGCTTGATATGCCGCCAGCGCGCTCCGCTTGACCAGCAACTCTCTCCAGGACCAGACGGCATTCCGTTTTCTGACTTGCGGCGTTTGGAGGTTTTGGCGGTGCCGGTGTTGCACAATACCTTTCTGGGTATGTCCTCCGATGATGGTCGGACCGCGTGGCAGAGCTGTTTTACGATTTGAATTGCAGTCTTCTTCATTTTCTTGTGAAGAAGCCGCCGGGACTACAGAAGATGGGGCGATGTACTATGCTGCGGAGTCCGTCCGGCCGCTGAACGTCACGAACACGGACAACCTTATTTTGGCCAGCGCCGTCCGCCTAATCGAGCCTTGGGTGGCTTCTCGTATTTCCTCCTCTCAGCGTGCATTTATTACTGGGCGTTCCATGTTGGCTAATTTGACAGATATCGACGAGCCCATGGCCGAGGCTCTCCTGGAGGACGACTCCGCGTCGGTCTTCTTCGATGTCGCCGCCGCGTTCCCCTGTGTGGAACAGAACATGATGCACTTATTGTTCGCTTCTCCGGGCTGTCCTGACTGGCTCCTTCGTTTCGTTGGGGTCCCCTATCAAAGCAATTTGTGCCATCGTCATCAGTTGGTGATTCACGGCGCGCGGGCCTCACAATTTCAAGGGGTATGCGACAATGCTGTCTTTTCTTTCCTCTATTTTTCGCCGTCCTCCGATCTATTGCTCCAGCGGCTTGGCCGGTTGTACCCCGGGCGCGCATTGGAGCATTTGCGGGCGACCTGGTCATGGCATTCCCCAAGTTCATGGAGCACACCGCATATTTTGCGTGCTTTTTCTTTGATTGTGCTCAGATCTCAGGTCTAGCGCTGAACATCAAGAAAGCGATTCATACTCCACTACGCGAGTTCCAGCCTGTGGAGGTACGCGCGCAAGTTGTCGCTTTCGCCCGGGGGTGGGGCTGCTCGACCATTGACAGCAAAAGCAAATTCCTCGGAATGGTCAGAGGGTTGGGGCGCGGGACTCTATCATGGAGCGCGCCCTTCGCGAAATGTCATGACCGAACTCGTATCTGGGATGGTTTGGGCACCGGGCTCCTCTTCGCCATGCAGGCGCACGGCATCTTCATCGCATCCGTCCTAGGCATCGTGGGGCAGCTCGCCGCGTGCCCTGTGAAGGTTGCGGGCGTCGAGAAGCAGGCGTGCACGCTGTTGTACCGTGGGCATTTGGATCATGCCGGGATGTCATACCCATTGGAAGCACTTCGAATTTCCCGCAGAGATGTTCGATTTGCAATTCCTTCCGATGCTTGGCTGCCCGCGCGCGGGTTTTCCGCCATGAGGGTGTCGCTAACGGAGGTACGCGTGAGGGTGAGTGCGGGCAGAGATTGCGTGCCGCAGTACGTCGCCACGGTGGCCAGGCCAGGGTGCGCGCACACCGCGCCTGGCCTGGCTGGACCGCCTCTGCCTCTTCGAGTTAGGCGCTGCCGCAGCTAGGCGCGCTGAAGTTCCTCGCAACTCGTCGCCTTCATTGCTGGACGCGGACGGGGGGGCTGCGCAGCCCAAGGCGGGATGGCAAACACGTTGCGACGCTCCTACGTGACCGTTGGGGCGTTGCTGTTTGCCCTTTCCGCAACAAGCTAGACAGGTGGCGCTTGCCTGTTTTTGCCAGGGCGCAGGCCCAGGCGTTTTCTTTTGAATCGCATCCAGGACATCGCGGCTGCGGTTCTGCCATGGGTGCTGGCGGCCGTTTTCCGTTTGTTTTGTTTTCCATGGATGGATCACGTCGCGGCGTTTCCAGGTCCGCGGCGGCTGTATTTTCGCCTGCAGCCAGCACGACGACAGTATCGAACATTATGCGACGTGCGCGTCGTTCCACCAATTGTGCTCGAAATATTTGCTCGTCGATGCCCCGCTAAGCCCCGACATATCTGTCAACTTTCTGTATGGACGTCCGTGCGCGCAGTGTGTGCCAGTGCACCTGCGCGAAGGGGGTGCCGTTGCAAAGGCCGCGGTGCTGCGCGCCATTGGTGTCTACGCCCTGTACCGCGCAACGTCCTCACATAAGGCGGTCCCCGTGCTGACTTCGACAATAGATTTCGCGATTGTGTTCGCGAGGGCATCTGGCGGGCTCCGCGGGCCACAGTGCTCGTTTTGGCCGCCCGCAGATGGCCCCGGGCCTGATCGTTCTCAGCTGTCCTCCCCTTCTCCTCTGCTGCTGGCTCGTCGTCGTCATCATCCCCTCTCTTTCTCTCCTTCTTCCCCCGCGAGCCTGGTCTGCCCTGATGGCTCTCGCTAAGCTGCGCATCGTTCGCAATCTCGGCAAGTACGCTTTCGTTCGGCCTGGGAGTTGATAAGTTTAATGGGATATTCTTCCTCCGTCGCTTCTTCTGCTCTTCTTCCTTGTTTTTCTTCCTCCTTCGTCTTCTTCTTCTTCTTCTCCTTATTATTTCTTGCATCGTTCGTGTGCTTCCTCAGTGCGAGCACCTCGGGCATAGTCCGATTGAGTCTGCGCGCTCGCGAGCTGCCTTCTGCCCAGAGGATGCGATCCCATCCTCGGTGAGGTCTTCTGTTCGTTTCTGCTCGCCTCTCCTCCCTCCTCCCCCTTTTTTAATTCATCAGTTCACGCCCGTGTTTTTCGTTTAGGTCTCGGTTCGCTGCATGAGTCTGCCTATCATGCAGGTCGGCTCGTGTGGCGCTCCTAGAAGCTGTATCGGAGACTCGCCCGGGTAAAAACGATCAAAGGAAACTCAGTTTGCTGGCCTCTGTTTGTCCAGGGGGCAGAATTTGTCCGCCACGGCCGCGTGGTGTACAGCTTCTGTGTCCGATTCCATCTTCTCGAAAACAGATTTTTATCATCGCTGCGTTGGCTCGTGGGAAGCATGTGAAGTCCGGAGTTGTGTGTTGGCAAGCGCCAAGCTGTAGTTAGGCAGCCGCTGGTGTCGTAACGGCGACGTTGGCGTCGCAACGGCGAAGTCGGCGGCGTCGTCGATATCTTCATTTTTTCTCCGATTCCCGTGGGTGCTGTGGTCGAATTTGCTTGTTGGAGACCCGTTATTATTTCATCTCCAATCCAGTGTCAAGACGTTTCCTTTTCCCCTCCCCAAAATAGCTGCCTGCTCTTGCTGCTGCCCGCTGTGCTGCTCCGTATACATTCGAACCGGCGTCTTCGAATTGCGCCCAATTTTCGCAACTTTTTTAAATAGTTTCCAGGGGGGCGTCTCCGTATCGTTTCCAGTATGCATCGAATCGTCGAATCAATAGTTCCAAGTGATTATGCAGAAGCATTTGTTTATGGTTTCATTGGTTTCTGTTTTCATCGTTTACAGGTCCACATTGTTGATTCATAACATGTGGAAGTTGTCAAGTATAAAGAAACGCCCAGGGCGTTTCTTTATAGTGCCAAAGCGCCAAAGCATGTGGCCAAACGTTGGACAATGTTCCCCCCCAGCTGTTGTGGAGCCCCTTTGGGGCACAAGTGTGGGAGGAAGGGATAGAGCAGACGTTGCTGGGGGCCACCACGATGAGGTCTGGCACTGCCGGGCCGCGTCGCGATGACGTGTGACCAGGCCTGGCGTCGTGGCCACAGCAGCCGCATAAGTGGGCCCAGAAAATGTTTGAACATCATTCGATAATTTGGACGGGTAAAGATTGCCATTGGTTCGGACACATATTCATACAGATTCAACGATATTCAAGTACATACATACATATATATACATATATATATATATATATATATATATACATATACATATACATATATGTATATATACACAGAATCCAAACCATACGCTTTGGGATTTGGGTTGGGATTCGGGATTGTTTCTGGAGCGGAAAACGCGCAACCTGGTCGATCTGCCGCCCCTGGGGGAACGAATGCGCTGTTGAAGGTGCGCCGCGCATGCGTCGCGGTCGATTGCGGGGGGGCGCAACATTGGCGCTTTCAGATGCAAACGCAACCACGCGGTTCGGGTGCTGACGCGAAGTTGAGCTCATCTCAAGTGGAAATTACCCGACCGCCTTGGGGCCAGCCAACACCAATGGTCACTCTTGCGAAGGGTCATTATTACGTGTAGTCGAAAAGAGGGATAACTATTCATACTTTATAACTCTAGAGGGACGTGGAGGAGGATGGGGTGGAGGAGGATGAGGAAGAGGCGGAGGAGGAGGAAAAGGAAGAAGAAATCTAATAACAATTATACTAGGAAGAAGAGGAAGAAGAGAAAGAAGAGGAAACATAGGAATACTACTAATACTAAGAATGATACGAATAATGCTAATGATTGTAATACTAATAATACTAGTGATACTAATAAGAATAACAGTACGAATCATAATGCTAATAATGATATAAGTAGTATTAATAGTAAGACTACTACTAAGAATGATAATAATAGTAATAACACTAAGACGCAGAAGGAGGAGGAGGAGGAGGCTTCTTGGAGGCCTCTGAGGCTTCTTGGGGCTTCTTGGTGGCCTTTTCTTTTGGGGCCTCTGGGGAGCCTCTTGGGGGCCAATTGCCTCTTTGGGGTCCCTGGGGGCCTCTTGGAGGCTTCTCCTGGGACTTCGGATGCCGTCTTGGGTACCTTTCCGGGCCGTCATGAGGCGACGGTGCCGACCCCTGCGCCTGCGGTCGCTGGCCCTGCTGAGAAGAAGTGCAGATCTGTCTTGTCCGAACGGCTATGATCAGTTGTTCAGGGACCCTTGGAGGACATTGCGGTGCCACAGTCTCGCACACGTGATCATGCGCCGCGCAAGAGACGAGCGCCACGGGCTCGCGCACGTGATCATGCGCCGCCGAGGGGGACGAAGCCACGAACTCGCACACATATTCTCGGGCGGCGAGATCTATACATATCCACGGCCTGTCGCCAGGCTTATTCTGATTCATGGCTTGGCCAGGGACGTATATCCAGCGGTGGTGGATACGTATAGATCTCGTCGCCCTGAGATCGTGCGCCGCCGAAGAGGAGGAACAGCAGCAGCAGTGACGGCACCAGAGCGACAGCGACAGCAATTTGTTGATCAGCCGCGCGGCTCTTTGCGCCACCTTTTGGGGCGAAGGAGCAGAAGAACGTGGCGGTGACCATCCTCTTCAAGGACAGCGCTTCACTTCTCCCACCTCCGGATTTGCCCCTGAGGTTGCTTTATAAGTTGTCAATATGAACGCCACTCTCTTGTGTTGTCTGTTTTTGAGTTCCAGGTCCGCTATGATACGCGTCCGCGGAAGGAGAAATAATCATCGCAATGGGAAGGGGTAGGTGTGTGGGGTAGGATATCAGATGTGGCGCGAGCGAACGTAGCTTGCCCCCGCCCTCAGGGGGCGCCTTGGGGGCTTCTTCGACCCGGGACCGTCTGGAAGCCATTGTGAGCCGTCTTGAAGACCTCTTGGACCCTCAAGTGGCCCAAGAGGCCGAAACAATCGATTTCACATGGTTTTGTTGGTTTTTGAGATCCAGAAAAGGGGGCCATCATCTTTGGTATGGTGGATGTGGCGTGGCCTCGAGGGGGTTCAGGGGTATGTAGCAATTATGCAGTCAGTGGATACATAGGATAAGTTGCATTAAGACGTTCGCCGAAACACGCTGCCGCTCAGCACGTCACTTCGCGACGTAGATTCCTCTCGCTTCGCGGGGTGCACGTCCAGAGCACGTACAATCCAGTCGTTGTGGGGCCTCCTGGGAACCTCTTGGGAGCCTCTTGGAGGCCTCTTCGGGGCCCTTGTGGTCCTCTTGGAAGCCTTTTTAGGGCTTCTTAGGGCCTCTTGGGCAGTCTTGGGGCGCTCTTGCGCCATCTGGCCTCTATGGAAGCCGTTTTGGAGCCCTCTCCAGGCTGCCTTGGGGTTCTCTTGGGGTCCTGTTGGGCCGTCTCGAGGGCCTCTTGGACCTGGACCGTCTTGGGGCCTCTTTGGGGGGCCAAATAGAGACCCTCTTGGGACGTCTTGGGGCCCTGTTCGGGGCCTCTGGGGCCGTCTTGGGGCCTTCTTGGAAGCTGCTTGGGCCGTCATTTGCCCCCCCGAGAGTCGAAAAGGGCGAGAACGCCAACATCCAAACACCAATCGAAAATCAATTTGTGTTGGCCTCTGGAGGTGCTCTTGGTAGCCCCCTTGGGCCCCTGGGGGCCGTCTTGGAGGCCTTTCGGGCCCTCTTGGGGACATCTTGGGCCGTCTTGGGGCCGCCTTTGCCCGTCTCGAGACAGTCTTGAGCCGGCTTGAGGCCCTCTTGGACTCCCAAGAGGCCGAAGGGGCCCAAATTACTGAGTTTCCATCGGTTTTTATAGGTTTTGAGGCCCAGAAGGGGTCCTCCATCTTTGGGTCGACAGATGTGGCGCGACTCCGGGGGGAGGGGTAGGGGGAGATAATAATGTGAAACAATGCAATATGTACCAAATGCGCAAGCATGGGATACATTGGATACGTTGCATCCAGGCGTTCGCCGAAAACGTCAGCTCCGGACGTGGATTCCCTTCGCGGGGTGCACGTCCGCAGCACGCGCAATCCAGACGTTGTGGGGCCTGGTGGAAGCCTCTCTGGGGCCTCTTGGGGGCCTCTTGTGGGCTTCTTGAAGCCTCTTGGGCTTCTTTGGGGCCTCTTGGGGCTCTTGCGCTGCTTGGCTCCTTCGGAGGCCATCCTGTGGGCCTCTCGCGGCCGCCTTAGGGCTCTTTTGGGGTCCTCTTGGGCCGTCTTGGGGGCCTCTTGGACCGTCCTGGGGATCTCTTTGGGCCGTCTTGGGGCCGTCTTGGGCCGTCTTGGGGACCTCTTGAAGGCCTCTGGGGCCGTCCTGGGACCATTTTGGAGCCTGCTTGTGCCGTCATGGACCTCTAAGGATAGAAGAAGACTGGCGCGGGACGTCTTCACAATTTATACAGGAATCGCGCTCTCGCGTGGGACTTCCTCGCCGTTTATTCAGACGCCGCGCCCTCGACACACAGGAATCATGCTCTCGCTTTGGATTTCACGGCTTATTTGTGAACCGCGCTATCGCTCGACATTTCCTCGCGATGAATGCAGTAGTCATGCTAAAAGGCCGCCTGCTCGACCTGGCCGCTTGGGCTCGCCTTCTCGTCCCGCCCGTTAGTGTCTACCCGCCCGTCTGGTTCTGCCACGTTTTTTCTGCTCTTAGCCCCCTCCTGGTAATCCCGTGCTCCTTCCTCCTCCCTCCCCCTTGTCCCTTCCTTCCAGCCGTCCTCTCTTCCCCTGCCTTAGGGGCTGCACGAGATACATGTTGCAGGTAAGAAAGAGATATGCCCCCACGGGGACACGATCGAAGGCGAAGAGGGCGGATAGCGAGGGTTAGGGATTTACGTGGTGAATTAATGGCCCGCGAGCAGACAAGAGCCAACAGTCTGAAATGGTTGTTGTTGTTGTTGTTGTTGCTACATTTTCATTTCTAAAGAACAATTATTGTTGATCCCCCTTCCGGTAACCATGTTTTTTTTGCAATTGAAGGGTTCCTCCCGCGGCTTGGGCTTGCACCTTGTTTTTTCCAACGGAAAGTTGGGTGTCTTCAAACTGTGCCCCTGGCCCCTGGTTTACAACCCGCTTGATATTCCTCAGAATGTATTCCCAAATCGCGTTCTCGCACGGGATGTCCTCATACTTTATGCAGGAATCGCGCTTTCGCGTTGGCTTTCCTTGCGATTTATTCAAACGCCGCGCCCTCGACGCTCAGAAATCGCGCTCTCGCTTTTAGTTTTCTCGCGATAAATTCTGGAATCGCACTCTCGCTCGAGACTCCTTCGCGATTCATGCAGAACTCACGCTTCAGCAACCCGCCTGCTCGACCTGGCCGCCGTGGCCCGCCTTCCCGACCCTCCCGTTATTGTAGGGTCTACCCGCCCGATCAGCCTTGGCCCCCGCGTCCTGCTAATCTCTCTCTTGCTTCATCCTTCTCCCTCCCCCATCCGTTCTCCCTTCCCCTGTTTTACGGGCTGCGCTAAACGTACGTGGCAGGTAGGGAAGATATACCCCTAAGGGAGTAGTGTCGAAGACGAAGAGGGCGGGTATCGAGGGTTTGGGATAGACGTGTTGAGTGGCACGCGGGTAGGTAAGAGCGAGCAGTCTTAAAGTGATGATTGTTGTTGTTGTTGCTGCTGCTGCTGTTGCTGTTGCTGTTGCTGTTGCTTTTTTTTTGTTTGTTGTTTTGTTTTTTGTTTTTGTTTTTTGTTATATATATATATATAAAACAAGCATTATTGTTGGACCCCTTAAAACGCCCTGGCGCTCTCGCCGAGGCGCGGCTACATTTTCACTGAAAATGAGGCTCACGCTCGAGCGGCTTGGGGGACCGCCAAAACCGGCCCCCCAACATCTCCCGCTCGAGACTTCCTCCTTTTTTACTCCGGGCTGGTGTTCTTGCTCGCCGCCGAAAGCCGCCGTCCTAACAGAACCAGCGCTCCCGCTCGAGACTTCCTCCCGTTTTACATTGGACTTGCGCGCTAGTCTTTCTCTCATCGGCGCCGCCCCCGGCAAAACAACGCTCCCGCTCGAGGCCTCCTTCCTTTTTTGCTCAAGGCGGTGCTCCTCCTCGCCGCCGAAAACCGCCGCCCCGACAAAACCAGCGCTCCCGCCCTATACTGCCTTCCATTTTACGCTGGACTAGCGCCCTACTCTCTTTCGAATTGGCGCCGCTCCCAGCAAGAACAACGCTCCTGCTCGAGATTTCCTCCCTTTTTCCTGAAGACTGCTGTTCCTCGCCGCCGACAGCTCCCGTCCCTACAAAACCACGGCTCCCGCCCTATGCTTACTCCCTTCTTACTCAAGCCGGTGATCCTCCTCGCCGCCGAAAACCGCCGCCCCGACAAAACCAGCGCTCCCGCCCTGTACTGCCTTCATTTTACGCTGGACTAGCGCCCTACTCTCTTTTGAATTGGCGCCGCTCCCAGCAAGAACAACGCTCCTGCTCGAGATTTCCTCCCTTTTTCCTCGGGACGGTGCTGTTCCTCGCCGCCGACAGCCCCCGTCCCTACAAAACCACGGCTTCCGCTCGATGCTTCCTCCTTTCTTACTCAAGGCGGTGTTCCTCCTCGCCGCCGACAGCCGTCGTCCCAACAAAACCAGCGTTCCCGCTCGAGACTTCGTTTTGTTTTACGCTGGACTAGCGCCCTACTCTCTTCAGCATTGGCGCCGCTCCCAGCAACAACGGCAGCCCTGCTCGAGACTTCCTCCCTTTCTATTCTGGGCCAGGTCCTTGCCTCACCGCCGACAGCCCCCATCCCCACCAAGGCAATCCTGTCGTTCGATACTTCCTTGTGCTTTACCCTTCGCTGGGGTTCCACTGGCGGTCTCGTATCGGCGGAGCAAGGCGCGGGCATGTGTTTTCGAGACGGGATATGTTGACATTCCTTGGAGGAGGTATTTGCAAGACCTCATTGGGCTGGAGATCTGGGAATGGGAATAACGGACCCCGCTATAGAACAAGAGTGCCCCATGATGTGGACGGTTATCATGATGGTCGCATGCTTCGTGTGGAAACATCGCGCATGAGGGTAAACTGATTGTTGTTGTTGCTGCTGTTGTTGTTGTTGTGTTGTGTTGTTGCTGTTGCTGCTGTTGTTGTTGCTGTTGCTGTTGCTGTTGCTGCTGTTGTTGTTGTTGTTGTTGTTGTTGTTGTTGTTGTTGTTGTTGTTGTTGTTAGTGTTGTTGTTGTTGCTGCTGCTGCTACTGTTGCTGTTGTTGTTGGTGGTGGTTGTGGTTATGGTTGTGGTTGTGGTTGTGGTTGTTGTTGTTGCTGTTGTTGGTTGTGGTTGTTGTTGATGATGATGATGTTGTTGTTTTTGTTGGTTTGTTGATGTTGTTGTTGTTGTTGCTGTTGTTGTTGCTGCTGTTGCTGTTGTTGTTGTGGTTGTGGATGTGGTTGTTGAACTTTCATTTCTGAAGAATAATTATTGTTGATCCCCCCCACCGGTGCATACTTTTTTTCTCAATCAAAGTGTGCCCCTCGACGCTCGCACCCTGTTTTTTGACAGGGAAAGTCTTCCTGCTCAAACTGAGCCCCTGGCTCCCGGGTTACAACAATAACGGCTCCCGCCTGAGACTTCCTTACAATTTAGCCAGGACCCCCGCTCCCGCCCGAGACTTCCTCACATTTTATTCAGGAATC